AATGTTATGTCCGCCATCCCTGTGAATTCGGCTCAGCACCTATTGGACTCGAATGCTGCATTGGCGTTCGACGTGAACTGGAGCCCATTTGTGTGCTTTGCGCCGAAAAAAATGGTGACGGTTGTGTTGCTTGATAAGGTTCTGCAAAGGGTCTATTGTGTCATACATATAGGAAGTGTCATGCTATATAACAATGCATCAACACATACTATTAAACTATATGCTCAGAGGTGTGTTTGTTTTTCCAATTAACAAGTTACAGCAGTGTGCTTTAATGCTATTATCATGTGTGTAGTTCTAAGTATCCTCTCTGCAATGCCTACGAAGGCCTCTGGAAGGAATAAATTAATAAATAACATTTTCACATCACTGGAGTTGGTTTTCGGATGCACCACATGTTCAGGAAAGGTTGATTGAGTGCAGCCCCTTGCAAGAAGTCTGCCAGTCTGGTATGACCCCTTAATTAGTATTGAAGGGTCAGAGAAGCGAGTGTCCTCGTAAGGTCCAGAGCGTGCAATGGACACAATTCTCGGTGTGTAGACTCTCAAGGCATGAAGGCAAGCGGAAATATGTTTATCTGGTTAGTGTATCAAATATGTTTATTTCCACTTGATTACAAAATTATTGATTCTTAGTAAATGGTTCCATAACGAGTTCTTTCTGCGACAGTCTCGTGTCAGGCGTTCAGTCGTAGTACCTGTGGACCTTGTTGTCAGATGACGCTCCTGGCACGTCGGTGTTCAGTTTGGTCGAGTGGCAACTTTGACCGACTGATGCTGTCTTGTAATCATATGTCATGTGCACTGAAGCTGCAGGGCTGGCTTCTAATCCGAAAATTTTCCTGGTAGTTTTCGGCATCAATGTAGCAAGTTCGGGCATGTATTGCTTACGTGGCTGTGCCTTTTGCTGTACCGTTGACTTGAAAGCTGGCAACAATTTTTGTTTGCTATCCAAGTCTGGTGATGCTTGCAGTTCACTTTTGAGAGGAACCAACCATTCTATTCCTTCAAGTCACTCAGGGGCATTCTCCCTCAAAGTTGGAAATTGTGTGCTTCGTGGAGTGGACACAGAAAATTGGTGTCAGCAAATTTTTAAGTATTGTCCTTGGACGACAACCGACACCAAATCCACTGTCACTGCATCGCCGCTCAACTGCTTTGTCGTGCTTACCTCTTGTTGAGGTGATGGACATGAGGAGCTTTGGGGTAATCTTCGATTCAGCACCTTCGGCATCAGGGACAAAGGTCGCCGAAGGTAATCCTTAATCTCCCGTGGTCGCTCCTCGAGACGTAATCGAGGGTCGTTTGGCACGAACCCTCGTCGACCAATTCACTGGTACGGGCTGCTTTGGTAGACATGGTAGGCTTCATGCAGTGGTAGCAAAGTGGTTTTCGGTCGCACATTCGCATCACCTACGTTTTCCTCGGTGTACTTTGTTGAGCACAGTCTTACACACAATGTCGGGAATGCTTCAGCGTTAGAGTGTCTCATTGAATTGGCATTGAATACTAAGGGGCAGCCGGTGGCGGTCGTTGTGCCATTGTGGCGTAAGTTGCCCTTGGTTTGTCAGATGCCGCTTCGCTCGCAGAAGTCTCGGTTGAAATACCTGTCAAACTTGTTCCGAAACAATCTCGGCAATCAAAATTATGTATAAAATAAAAGCCGGGCAACTGATGGCAGGAAGTAGCTTCCTGATCTCCTCCCAGACAACATCGTGGGTGATGTCGTGGATGCCTGGGAGGCTGGCGTCGAAGTAGTAGCTAGACAACTCGAGTGTCGAGACGCCGGGAAGTTGTTTATAGTGGCAGGCTCGGGCATGCAGTGCACATTCCATGTTGGAAGCCTCAGTGATATGAACACTTCGACTGTTGTTGGGGGGTTGCGGACAAGGCTGCCGAAGGTGTTGTCCCTCACGTGAGGCGCATGGGATTCTTAGGTTCTTGTCTTCTGTAGCATCAAGGTCGGCGTGGGCGTGGGCGTGGGCGCTCGATCAAGCGCAAAACATCCTCCACGAGTGCGGTGGCGCTCTCATTGGGGCAGTGTCCTGGACAGAATCAAGAATGCGGCTCTCTCTCGTTGATGTTGGCTGACGGATGTGCGCTTCAGCTTGATCTTGCAAACTTCCCATGACGTTAAGGAGGATCCATGGTTCTCAGACCAGCGCCGGCAGTTGCTTCCACGAGAAGTATAGGTTCTGCAGGAGCTGGTTGTCTGTCCACCCAATGTGGCGGGCGACACTGTCATATTGTTCAATCCAGTCCTTGACGTCTTCATACAGCTTGCGTGAAAAAGCGTCGGAGTGTGATTTGCGACGGGCATGCAAACAGTGGTGGGAGGGGACACGGTTTGCTGCTACAGGTTTGTCATTGTTGGCTTAGTCAGCTTCGGATTTTCTGACAGGAGACCGAATTCCGGTGGTTTTTCCTGGTAGCAGCAACTGGCTCGGATTTCAGGTGCTTCGTGGTGTATTTCCGAGGTTACGCCTTGTGGTACTCGGTCGTCTTGCGGTTGTTCTGCCAGGCTCGGGTCAGGACTTTGCCTACGGCTCGACAGGGGTATAAGACGCGGAATAGTCCGCCAGCCGTGTCCCATTATTGGGTAACTCGGCTGAAGAGCCGCCGGATTCACACAGAGTGAAGGGCTACGGGTAAAGTGCCCAGTACCTCCACCTGAACATACGATTACAGCTGAGCATGACCTGCAGTGTCCCAGAATAGTGAATATTGATAGAAGATAGGACTGGAACAAGGATCCGTGACAGTATAACAAAACTAGCAGAAGAGAATCTATCCTGACCACTGAAAAAGCTGCATTGCTTTAGTGGCATTCTGTCCGAATAAATCCTCTCCTTCGGGGTTTGGCGACTGCCGTGGACGAACTGAACTGAAATGGATGTGGGACCACTTTTCTGGTAATGAGCCACTGCAGACTGTTGCCACAAAGCGGCGTGAGCTGGGTACGTAACACGCTCGGTGAAATGTCCGGACAGCTTGCAATTCGCGTAACGAGTGTGGATGAAACGTTTGTGTTGACGAAACGTGCGGCAGACCAGCGGGATCAATACCATTTGCAACACCTGTGCTCCGTGAAAGTGCACGTCTACGCCGGAACAATTTCGGAAGCAGCACAGCATCACCTAAAGCATGGCACAGGAACTACCAGCTTAAAGGCAGCTCTTCGGTGCGCCGCACACCTGTGCTCCGTGAAAGTGCACTTCTACGCCGGAACAATTTGTAAGCAGCACAGCATCATTCAGCACGGCACGGGAACTACCAGCTTCAAGGCAGCCTTCCGGTGCGCCGCACAACCGAAGTGAGCCCTCGGTCATTTGATCGAAGCTGCACCGCGATTGCACACCGCCAAGCACGACTCAGGCAATTTCCGTCGCTAAACTGTGTATCCAAATATATTGCACACGCTTCACTGCAAACCTCGAAGATTCCGATGGTCAACGAGAGCACAGAAACGTCGCCTTAAATTTTATCCTAGCGGTATCCGAATCAATCCGAGGTCCGAGCAACGTAGGTCAGATTGTCTCTTCCGTGGCAATATCCCGGTCGGTCACCAGCGAAATGCTCACAGTTTCTCCGTATTTTCACGTTATACCTACGTCAAACACCACGCTGAACTCTGAACTCGCTTTCGACCGGCCTCATATGACGGCTTCCGCGTCTGAAATCAACTCGCCGAGACGAACGACAACCAACAAAGCATCCGACAAGCTCCGGCCCAGCTGGGGCCAGCCGCTGCATGGGCGCTGCCATCTTTCCTGTGACGTCACGTATTTGGTTTGGTCATGTGACGTGTGGTCAAATTTGCGTACAATGGCAGCCTCCTTATGGGGGTCACTTTCGAGTGCAGACCGGAACCCCGGTTAAATCACTTTACCCCGGTTTATCGCTCTAAGCCCCTCTACCTCGTTGAGAGAGCCGTACAAACCCTGCTTCCAGAAGGTGTTGGTTTCACTCTGTCGTGAGGAGAACGCGGGTTCGCATTGAAACATTTTTTGAAGCTAGCTGAAACAACGAGCAGACGAAACCGGCAGCAGGCACGGCGCAGACGATGGGAGAGCGCGTCCAGTGCCCGGCGCGTCGGAACCCCCGGTCACAGTCCCAGTTTCGCGGCGCTGACATTAGCGTCGCCACCATCAGCGGCGCTGTGCATAGCGTCGCCACCGGCAGCAGCGCTTAGGTGGTGGGGGGCTCTCATTAATACAAAAATACAAATATGGAACTTTGTCCGCTAACAGTAATTTCAACAAAACGTCTTCACTATGGTGGCTAGAAGGGGAGGTGTGACGGTCGGAGGAGGCAAGGCCGTCGCGCTGCGTTATGACGCCGCGAAAGGCGCTGTGGTCAGCAGCCCGATCAGCCTGTTCCGTGTCCGCGCTGTCGTCTGCACGTTTTTGCGGTTCGTTCAGTTTGTAGTGTTAACTCCGATGCAACTCTTTTTCTTGTGTCACAAGAAATAAGGGACTGAGATTTTAATTTTGTTCGACAGATGTAGCATGTTAGTTCGGTATTTGCACCTCTGTTGTGTTTTAATCGTGGGCCGGTCACGGAACCTTGCGCGAAGTGGCCACTTACGTTCTTGCCTGAATCTTTTGATGAGTCAGTGTGGAATAAGATTGGAGCGGGAGATTTTGAGTGTCGGATTACAAGCAGAGGGCGATAATGACTTGATCTGTCAGCGTTTGATGTTCACGCTTTCTTTACTGCATTACTAAAGCTGTTGTCCAATAATCCAGAGGTACTAGGGAGGTTCTGCCTAATAAATTTGAAATAATTGGGTACCTGAGAAAGCAGAATTTTACTCGTGTTAAGGCTTTGTGTTCTTGCGTGCGGGTAGTCGATTCTTAGAACTTTGTACTTGTCTATTAAGAATTTTATCGAAAATACTATTTTTAACTGTTTCATAAAGTTGTCTATATAATTGAGAGCCCTGGCACATCACACCAAAATAAAGGGTGAATTGCACAGTGTAAAATACTTCAACGTCAATCCAAAGAATGCATGAACACTTTAATAAGCACGAAACTCAAAACAGGGTAGTGAACATCTTCCCAACAGCACAAACATGAGCCAGCAGTCAGTCTCATAAATCAGGGTTTCTACAACAGAACTATGTAAGCATTTCAGTGGTCACAAACGGAGTGCCTTTCATAAAAACTCAAAAAGAAATGCAATAATGCCAACTAGCAACAAACTCGATACTAGCTTTTACAGCACACGCCTGATCTTTAAGTGTTTTTTTCTTTCCCGGCTCTCCTGCCGACTTGCATTCTTTGTGGCGACAAGGAAGTGCAACCTTGTTAAGATGAAAAACTTAATGATCATGTTTGTCAATGTGGTGCTGTGTGTAGTGCAGCCAACAGAGCCCAGTGAGCATGCTTGCAAAAAAGAGCACACATCGAGGATGCTGTCCGGTCCAAGTTCTCGGGAACTAAAGCAAGCTGTGAATGCATTTTCCAGAGACATCACTAACAGGTTCAGAGCTGCGGATGGGTAAAGAAGTCCACCCCGGTTTACAGCACTCGTCAGGCATGCTTCCTTGGGTGCTGCTGCAGATTCCTGGAGCAGCCGTTCAGTGCATTCTCTGCAGTTTGTCTTGCGTATGCACTTGCGTGCTACATACCCTGCAATGTAGAACACCAGGCGCGAGTCACTTCGTTCACGTGTGAGGGACAGCTGGTCGGTAACGATGCCACAAGCATCCAGCGTGGCTTTGGCTTCCTGAAGGTTGCCAAGGTCAAGGAGGTCATCGACTCGTCTCTGAGCGTCTTGTGCGTTGCTTGGGTTAAGAAGGCTCCTCAGGGTGCTTCCTGTGACATTCCCTCCTGTTGGCGATTTTGCAAGGTTGGCGAATGTCAGGCAGTTTACAGAGACGAGAAACTGTGAAGGTGTTGGATGGTCATTACATCCCGACATCTGACGAAGGATCCCGAAGAGGTTTTCGATGGGATCTTGACTAAGTCGTGATGTCAGAAGGTACCTGTACCCCAACTCTCCTGTCACGTAATCCAAGAGAGAAAGCGTGCTTGAAAGCGTAACACGAAGTCCTTCGGCGGTGCTGCGACTGAGGAAGCCCTGCCCTTGCGTTCCTGCCGATGCCTCCCATGTGTTGAGGTAATCGAGAAATTCTTGCAGCACAGCCTCCTTTCTTGACCCAGGCCTTAAGGCGTCCTTGCTGCGGCGAGATGTCATTACACTGATAAGGTCTCTCATCTTCTTGACAAAGCATTCTGTTGCTGTTGTGGTACCAAACCTGCCCTCTACTTCTTGCTTGTACAGGTAAAGGCCCCGGACTACCTCGTCGCTGTATAGGCGGATGGCGTGGCTGACGCTCATTTTCTCGAATCCGTTCGGGTGTAGCACCGGTTTTGTGACGCGTGGCATGGCTCTCAGTGGTGTGAGGCTCTTGTTGTCACACTTCCAGGCTTCTTCGATGTGCTCTACTAGAACTCATCCTTCTGGTGTGCGAAACCCTGCAATCAGCATGTTGTTTCTCGAGCACTTCACCAGGTGCGGAAAATCCGAAATGAAGTGCAGCTTTCTGCTGGGGTCTGCAGGATGCTCCGTCTTGCAGACGACTTTTGTTGACGTTGCTTTAATTCCAAATATTTTCCACATACGCCTGTTCCATGCAGCAGCGTCACATGTCACAAAGTCAATGAAAAGCCCAGCTTTCTCAGTCATCAGAATAGCATCTACAATGATACGTGCGAGCATTTCGGCTTTTACATTAGATCGCGACCCAAAGACACCCAAGATCTGATGCCACTTTCCACCAAACGGCTGAAATAGCAGAACCAGCCCATGGTCGCACATGAGATGCTTTTCCTTCTCGGTGGTGTAGTCGGCCAAGTCCACAAACCCTTCAAGCTTGCCACCTCGTCCTACACTCAGGTGCTCAGAAAGCTTAATCTCGTCAATGAGCAACCCGCCGTGGCACATGGAGTTGTCAATGGTTTTTGTTTTTTCAGCAAGGCAACGGAACATGTTTATGTTAAGGCCAAATCCACCCCTGTACGCACGAGTGTATGTGCGGAGGCAAGTACGCCCCGGCAGGACGAGCGTCTTTTGTTTGCGAAGGTGCTCGTACAGACGAGGGCTCTTCATCCGCATGATGATGCACTCGAGTGCCCATTCATCTGTGAATTTCATTCCACACGTACTTTTACGCTTGGAGGCCTCAAGGCAAGCTCTCACCTGCTGTTGTTGCATGCTTGGCAAGCGCTTGAGTTCTTCATCCAGGGTTGATGGCCTAACCTGTGCGTTTTTCACTTTCATTTCTGCCAGTTTTTTCTTCATGGCAGCAACTGCTTCTCTTGCTCTCTTTAGCTTGAGCGTCTTGATCCGCATCTTGTGAGCTGTTGCTTGGACAGGGTACCTGATACTCCTCCGCTTGCGCGAAAGTTCATTCAGCAGCAGCTTGCGCAGATATCTGCACTGCACACATCTGCTGTTCTGGCTCTGAACAGTGCCAGTGCACTTCAAACTGAATACTTTGCGTCCAAATGTCCGGTGCTTACATTTCGCGCGAAGCAGTTCATCAAGATCCTGCACTTCTCCCAGTCCCATGCAGGTTTTCATCGCTTGTACTTCTCTAAGCAAGTCTTCGGCTCCTTGTTCGTTCTCTACTTGAACCGTCTTCAGAGTTGCACCCTGAACGATCACGAGGGCGCAGATCCCGTTGCTCGTGTTGAACACAACCGACCGCTCCAAGCCTACCGTCCCTCCGTCCATCTCGCACACTGAGAACACAACAATCTCAGGGGCACCTGAAACCAGATGGCTTCCCCAGTAGTTGTTAGGAAGTGCACAGTCTTGCAGGTCCACTCCTTGAAGAACGCTCGTGCTGGTGCACGGCAGGTCAGCGTCGTTGAGCTGCGGTGCAGAATCTGACCCTTCAATGTCAGCTCGAGGTGTTTTCGAAGGGAGGCCCTCAGACGATGTTTTTGTTCGGCGCTTCTTTGGCAGCGGCTTTGAGAGGTACGCCGGCAGATTGGGGAAAACTGTAGGTACCGCATCGTCCGTGAGGATAGGTCGGTCGCGAGGGATCTGAACGAGCTCCCCCCTCACTGTATGCGTGAAGTGGCGTACGATATATCGTTCGTCAAAGTGCAGTTCACAGAGGACTGACCTGTCGTCGAGTTCTTTGTCGGCTCTTGGAACGGCGCGCTGCCACGCTTGGAAGCGATCTGCTTGTTTAGGCACACCAAACAAGGACACGTGTGTCTTCGTTCGTGTCGAAACATAGCCGCTTGAGCACCCCGGCGCAAAGCAGTGCGTCTGCTTCTTCCCCATTCTGTCCAGTGCTCTGCCTCGCTATATTTCGCTCACATGTTTGCAAAAGGCACGGGTAACAGAAAGACGTTTAAGCTAATAAGTGGTAGCTCACGGAAGCACACGAACCAACCAACACGAGGTCCAGGCGAATGACTCAACACAGGCAGAGCACCGGTAGCCGCCGATGTCTCCGGAGCAGTGTTGCCAACTCAAAAATTGAAAACCCACAGTCGGAACACCGAAAACCGCTAAAAAACCGCTAAATCCAAAACACAGCGCAAAACGACTTTTTAATTTTCTTTTTTTTTTTGCTTGAATTCTTGACAAAGGTATAATAACAGTATAGATCATATCAATGCCATATGAAAGGAAGCTTTCCTTTTGTTTTGACTAGAAATCGGTCACGCCACAACACAGTTCACCCAGGTGATCCGAAGCCAAAATTGCAGAGTGAGCGCATACGAACATGGCAAGGGACCCTTCAGCAGTGCGTGCTAGTCAGACTTCCGTTCAACTTGTAGAGTCGTCTGCTACCAGAGGAGGAAGGTGCAGCGGCCGAAACATGTTTCTTCGTTGCAGCGTGCATGACCAAATCCACATTCTTCGCAGATAGTTCCGTTTTGAAATAGCGGCACCTGGCTCGTCTGCTATCACCAGGAACCTCCAGTAGCCAGTCTTTAAGTTTGGGGTCTTATAGCCAGTCGTTTCTAAACGTTTGAGCGTACTTTACTGCGATCATTTCACGAAACAGTGACAAAAACGTCAAAGGAGAATTAGAACATTCATGCTGTTGAAACGTGCGCGCACAAAACGGGGAGGCTTGTTCCGATATTCGACGTCTTAATGTTTTGATGACGTCACAGTCGTTACTTTCACAAACCAGAACATTACTGAGAGTCAGCGAAGACGATAGTCGACAGTAAATCGATATAAAACTTCTATATCTCTAAAAAACCGCCAAGATTACATAAAACCCGCTAAAAATCCCGCCGCCCGCAAAACAATAATTTACCCCGCTAAACCGAACCAAAAACCGCTAAGTTTAGCGGGAAAACCGCTAAATTGGCAACACTGCTCCGGAGAAACAGATCGGGCTGGGCTTGCTAGCGCCACCTGCCGCCGTCATACGACAACGTAACACTCCGCACAACGGGGCGAGCCGTGGGACCGATACACCTCCCCTTCTAGCCACCATATCTTCACTGCACCATGAAAATAAAATGCAATTTATTTTATATATTTCTTTCCGTTCGTTCTGTTTTCGGTCTAAAACCAAAACTCTAAACCGACCCGCTGGCCTCGCCGGTGCCCTGGTGCCCTGGAAGGCGCCGCTGCACCCCCCCCCCCCCCCCCCCCCCCCCCTCGCTCTACCCTCGCCCAAATTTGAAACTTCGTAACGGCGGACGGCGGGACGGCGGCGTCGCGTGGTTTTGTTTACCCAAGGGTCGTGCGAGCGTAGTTTCGCGCTCCGGCGTTCCGCGCGCCTGTCGAACTCGATGGATATTTGGTGCGAACTTTCAGAGACTGTTGAGAGGTGCATTTTACGTGGCCATATCCCGATGGTGCACGAACAGCGCAAATGCCTAGACCACAAGTTTTTGTTTGTTCATTTTTTTTTTTCAAGATAAGGCAGGTGAGTATGTATCTCCCGTACTCAGTTTTATTTGCTCAGCGAACTTACCATTAAACTTTTGCTGCCCATAGCTGTTAGTTTGCAGGCTCGTTCTCGCAGTAAAAACATATGCTTTCCCCCGAACAAGTACGGTTTTAATGAAGTTAATGGTATACACTTAGCTCCACTTCAATTTGTGCACAACTGCTTATTTAAAGTGTAACAATTGGGTTTAATCTTGAAAATGGTCTTTGGCGGTCCTCGAACAGACGGAGGATAATAAAACGAAAGAATGAGGCTTCCTATATATTAATTTGAAGTTTCATTTATTTCTGCATGGTTCCGGGTGCGACAACGGCATTATGTCATTAGTTTGTTCGCTGTAGATGGACATTTGTTTTGTTTTAAATCAGTTTAAAATTTTAAACATCATGACCACATTGTCGTTACAGATGCTGGGACATATAGAACGAGCATTTGAACGTTGTCTCAAGGAGGAAGAAGGCTTCGGACACTTCGTGGTTCCCAACAAGTTATCCAGCCTGTTGAGTGCCAACATTTTTCGAAGCTTTATTTCACATTTTCATCTTGCTTGCGTGAGCAGCTTTGAATATGTAAAAATGAAGCTAATGATTGCTGGGGGCCACCTAAGTGGCTTATATTTCTTAAATCAGTGAACAACTTTACTTTCGGTGAACAGCTGATCCAACTTGGCATGTTGAATGCGTAATTATGTGGGTCAATGTGTACACTTGTAAAGATATATGTTAGTGACCATTCCCAAGAAGTGATAGTGATAAAGCCCATTCCCAAGAAGGTGTGCGGCCACGCATGTAATAATGAAGTGATGAGATCGTGCACAGATGACAGAGAGGTGCTGGCGATGTGCAACTGCAGCTTGTGGGCGAAGTTGGCGAAATGATTTTGTCAATGTTTTATTTTTGCGCGTATGCAGGTGCAGTGCTGTACTTAATTCCGTTTTAGCATCTGTGCAATAAATGTGCCTCGAAATATTTCGGTCGCAGCTGTGGATTCCTTACTGGACGGCGGGACGCCTCGAAACGGAAGAACAACGAACACACATGACTACGCACCTTATACAGCTGAAAGCGAAATCGCACATCGTATATTACGTTAGGGACTTTTAGCGAACTGTTACCCTGTTCCGCGTACTGCACTATCGGAGCCTTTGAAACATGCTTTATAGGCGCGCACCCGGAGTGATACCGTGACAGCGGGGCGCGCACTTAAAAGCATGCTTCAAAGGCTCCGATAGTGCGGTACGCGGAACACGGTTTGTTAAAAGTCCTTATTATTACACTACCGGGACCGGGCGTGATGCTCAGGAGCCTGGATCCAGGCTCCCGCACGACCCCGAAGCGATCCATACGAGAACCACCCTACAAAAATAAAAAGACGCCATATTGGATTCTTTACGGCTTGGCTTAAAAACGGCTTCAAAGTAGGCTACTACGTCCCAAACGTGTATATAGAAGTCGTTTTGAAAAGTAAGCTAGATATTTTATTAATAGCATGGTTAGCTCTTAATATAATTTTACAATTTACCGAATATAAAATAATAAGTTAACTCGTTCAAGTAATGAGAGCCCCCCACCATGGACGAGGAATTCGGCGCTACTGTACAAAACTCGACTCCGGCGTCGCTTGGTATGACGTTATGCCGGGTCCTGCCCTATTTAAACGTCCTTGACAGTGTTTACTTTTAAGCGTAGCTTATTTAGTGACCTTAGCCAAACCAACAGGTTGCAGACTCTCCCAATATACGGCTCTGGCCACGCAGGGTCCCTTGTGTATACAGGCGTGGGGTTATAGATCAATCGGCGTAGAAGGTTTGGCGCATAGAACATTCTAACCTCGAATAAGCAATACGGTTCTCGAATTTACCAGAACGCCACATTTACAGAAACAACAAAAAGGTGTACCCACAGCACGATATCCGCTCGGCCACGGGCGCGCTGCCCTCTTAGCCACTCTGCTCTTAGCTAGCTGTACCGGCGGGAATATATACGCAAAGAAGCTTGGACACCTCAAATATAAAGCAAATATTTTGATACGTTGAAGGGAAGGCGAGAAGCACGTCCCAGAGCACTCAACAAGGTGCTTGAAAACAAAACCCCTAACAGCGTAGTATACACAGCCCTGGTTAGCGCCGGTGAAGTGGTAGCCGTAACATACAATGATCAAGATACCCCACAAGTTACAGCTCTACACACAACTATAGGAGACGAAATCATGATAGGGGAGCAGGTGACTATTGCTCTGGCCATTACCCAGCACCCCCGTTACATCATCGCAGACTCCCAAGACGCCTGCCAGGCATACTTATGTGGTCTCAATTTCCCGGAGGCTCACCGAATCCTCGACACCCACCAACCACGTGAAGGGAAGCAGACCATCGGCATCATCTGGACTCCGTCCCATACTGAGACTGAAGTGAGGGGTAATGCCCGAGCCCATTACTTGGCACGCGAAGAAGCTAATGCCCGTGCCATGGTTTCAGGGGACGAACACCCAGATCAGCAACCGGACTCACCCACCCACTCACTGGCTACAAGAACATCACCCCTTACTATCGGGAGAAACGGCACACTCTACCACCACATCATCATACGCTTGACACAGGGGAACAGGTCAAGTGGCACCTGCTCCAAACCAACACTTAATCAATGCCATCAAGACTCAACCTGCTTTACCCCCAGCCCTACCCCTCACCCACATGCCCCAACTGTCAATAGAACCGAGGCACAATTTACCACATGGTCCTGTCCTGCCCGAAACATCCAAAACCACAAGACGCAGCACGGCTTCAAAACCGCCTCAGCTCCTGGAAGACAACCATCAGCAGTTGCGTACCAACTTGTTTTTGAGTGGGGGGGCAAACCAGACCCCTTCCCCCCTCCCAGGGCTGAGGGGCAGTGCCCCTGGTGTCCCTTGGGCGCCGCTTGCCAGTGTTTGCCCTGCCCAGTGGCGGCTGTTTCAGAAGGGGGGGGGGGGGGGGGGGGTGGCAAGCACCCCCCTTGTACCCCTGGTTGGTATGCCGATGACCATCAGAGCCTTGAACACGGAGGAGCAGCGTGAGCTGGTTATCCTAATAAAATGGAGAGTTGGTGATTCATTTTCTAAGGTTAACAGCGCAAGTTCTAAGGTTAACAATGTGTCGGTGTCTGCGATTGAACTTGCGCTGTTAACCTTACAAAATGGTTATCCTAGCCGATGAGGCATGCAAGGCCGATGGGACCCCGGACATAGGGACCACCCGAGGGTGAACACCCGGTCATCCTAGATGCCTTCATTAAAGTATACTCTCTCTCATCGATGCTGCGATGAGTGTCAAAGGCTTCGACGAAGGAAGCGATTCCGTAAACGTGATCATCGTGGACTGCAT